AAAATTGAAACAAAACCCTTTATCCTATTGTTCAATAGCCCCTATTTAGTTTAATACACAGTTTGCAAAAGTTAACTGTGGTTAATTTTTTACTGTGATATGTATTGTATGTATATTGTGATATCAACAAAGTTTTGAGAAGATATACACTTTATATATCAAGCATAAATTGCATAGTCTCCTTTCATGAGAAGAGGTAAAAAAAAAAAGTTTTATTCCAACTTTATGGACAGCAGTGTATTTAAATCAAGTGTAAAATGAATTTTTACATGTAAATGTACACACAAATCTTGCAAATTTAACAGAGGTTTACTGTTGACAAAGATTTCTATGAGAAAATAAGAGAATTTATCATTTATTCTAACATTGAACCTTCTAACCTGAAAATGTCCTCAATTTTCTAAAATATCTTCAAACTCAAACAAAGCTCCAGTGGATGCACAAGCACATGCACATACACACAAACAAACAACGCACTCTCTCTGAGGCTTTCTTTCAGGCTCAGCGAGTAATTCACTCTGTCTTTCTTTGGCTCCACTTTGCTTTGTTTACGTGCACATCAGAGCAGCAGCTGTAATTTAACTGACAATGACAGTCAAACTCACTGTCGTCAGCTGAGCTTACTGCTGCGGTCTGATTAAACTGCTTCAGATTCAGATTCAGACAGGACTTTATTGATCCCTTTGGTAGGGTACCTCAGGGAAATTATTAAAAGTATAAGTATATATAAAGTATTCTGGAAAATCAAAGCCTCTTCAGGTGGAGTTTTTCATTTCAAAGTAAAAGCATAGAGTGAAAAATAAAGAACTCAGTGAGCCTTGTGAGCTTTGTGAGCGGCTTTCGATTTTTCTGTTGTCGATGCATGTAATGTCGACTTCGAGTTCCTGATTCAGTCAAAACTATTCTCTGTACTCACAAAACCATTTGAAATAAGTCCACGGAAAAAAAAAAGTTTTCACTCTCAAACGAAAAAAAAAAAAAAACACTGACTCTTTCTAGTAATTTTCTTCAAAAGGTCTGCCTCACAAACCCCCCTAATGCAGCAGATCAAAACTTACCAACAGCCGGCAAAGTGTTCTTTTTAAAGGTCACAAGAGTCGCAGCAGCTTTCCCATGATATATACAGTAAGTTCTTAAACTCTAAATGAAGTTTTACAAAGTAAAACCTTCTTCTTCCATTTTTTTTCCCTTTCTTGCAGTGCAGCTGTTGGACACGATAAGTGAACTTCATAGCTGAGGCTGATTTATGGACAAAAGACACAAACACACAACAAGAAAACCCTTTAATACTCACAGAAAGTCAGATTCACTACAAAACTTTGCAAAGAGATCATTCAGTTTAACAAACGCATGTAAGACTTCAAAGTGACGACAAAGAAGAATTACAACGCTTATTTGATCAACTTTGTAAAGAGAATTTAAAGGCTTCTGAGCTAAATAAACACCCACAGAAAGACAACTGATGATGACTGTGACCAAACATTTTATGCACAACTTGAATCTAAGAGCCGAGACAGAAAGTAAAATTAAAACAAAATCTAATCTTCAGTTAATTTAACAGAGCGAGAAAAGAAGCACATCTTTTATTATGCTTTTGCATTAACTGTGCCAGATTTAATTATATGCTGTTGTGTAGAGCAATATTGCCTCATTTATCATGTATTTCAATTATAGACAACGTTCCCATTTTGCTACTTTGTGTGGCGCTTCTATGTTGCATGTTTCCATTAGTGCCTGACAAACTATGCCAAAGGGGCAACTCGGCAAAACGGCACACAAATCATACTTCACCTCAGTCCTCATTAGGCCAGCAACACACCAACGGCTTCATGTCCCATTTTGTCAGAGAGCTCATCTGAAGTTTTTGTGAGCACACTTTGCACCAAAACTCCCACCCTGTTCCGTTTGCTCCTGCTCCTTTGGACGACCCCATGCTCTTGCATCAATAAATCATTTCCGTCTCTCTTTTTTTTATGACCCTTTGACTATTTAAAAAAGTTTCTTCTGTGGAATCAAATCAGTAGATCATACCATCTAAACTAGAAATGACAGATTTAATGTCTTGATGTTCCTGCTTGTGAATTTATGCGTTCTGTGGTAGAAATTCTTCTTGGTTTATTTGAAGGCAGCATTCTTGCTGCTTAAAGCAATTTTGTTCTTTTTTTTTTGTCTTAGCTCGTTAAAGACCCCCTTTGGATGAAAATCAAGTTGTTGTTGTTTTGTAGCTTGTACCTTTGTTTACATGTCCATACTGTGTGTTTTCTATGTACTTGAAGACACATAATGAGCAAAATAAGCAGAAAACACCGTGACTGGGCACTACTCCAATATTACAGCTTGACATTGCATAGCGTAGAGTTGTTTTACAGTTGTTTGAGCAGAGTAGTAGGTGAGCTGGTGTGCTCGAGCTGCAGTAACTGGTGAGAGAGGCGGGTACTTCATAGATTTGCACATACTAAAGGAAGCAACAGTGCAGAGTTACATCTAAGCCATTTTAAGGCAGGAAGGAATTATTTTCATGGACAAAAAAAAAAAAGCTTCTAAATACGAGGTGTATCAGAAAAGTTCCAGGACTGGTGTCACAAAAGATATATTCCAAACCCAAACTACGAGTTTTCCCTTTCAGAGTAATCACCCTGGAATATATATCTGTGATCTCAGCTCTCTGCAGCCATTGAACTTTTTCCACATGCTTTTATATACATATGCTCTGTTTCATGTCATCAAGCAATGAGCACAGAGCAA